CGTCACCGTTATCATCTATATTTGATCGTCTCCGCCGGCCATTGGAGTGAAGAACTTATATAACACAGTGGAAAGTTAGAGAGACGCATTAGACCCAGAAAGAAAAGCAAGAGTTCAGGAAAAAAATCCAATTTTAAAGAGAGAGAGAATGGCTCATGAGGGGAACGGGACTGCAAGTAGATGTAGCAGCCGCAACGACAACAACAGGTGGTCGGTTCAGGGAAAGACCGCTCTCGTCTCGTCACCAGTGGAACCAAAGGAATCGGGTCTCTCTCTCTCCCTAAACACTTCGTTCTTTCATGCCTTTGATTTTAATGATAAATCAATTACTATGGTTTAGGTTGGTGGAAAAACATCGTGATTTAGGTATTTAAAGACTGTCAATTTTGAAATCTCGTTCCTTTATAAATTGGTCGAGTTCAATCCAGCTTTATCTGGCTTAGGCCCGAAATTTTGTGCACATCGACTTTAACTATACATAAAATTTTCGATAGAGTTTGCGGCCTATATTACACATCAAAAAACTCTTACGGAGCTCAACATCATGTGGCATAGGCCAAAGGCGTTTGATGCTATATTTTTACCACAAAAGTCCTGTTTCCTGACCACCTTTTCAAAACCCACCCCTATGCACTATGCTACAGATTGTGCGTATGCCATGCAGCCATGCTTTCGTAAAATAATAGTTGTATTACTAAAAATTAAGCCTAGTTCTCGAGTCAGCCTTGGAACCGGCCATTTTGGTTCTAGGCCGATTCTTAAAAGAACTGATGCTGCTCCCGTTCCATTTTGGTTTTAAGAACTGATTCTTAAAACTTCCTTTTTTGAGATAGCCTCAGAGGGAGATCCACAGGGGTAAGAATACATGACCAAAAATCAGTGAAGTCAGTCCGGGCTGCTAGATCAAACAAATAATTGAATTCATTTGCGTCGTAAGCAAAGAATTCGATTTCACTTAAGTCGATTGTTAAGAATTTATAAAGATAAAAGGTAAAAGGGGAAAGATTTCTAGGAATATTCAATGAAGAATAACTTAGAAAACGACACCCAAAAGGAAGAGGGGTAGGTGGTCGAAAGCGCGGATAAAAGTGATGGAAAAAATTACGGGAACTATGATCAGGAAGGAACAGGAAATAATAAACAAGCTAACATTAAAGTATGTAAAATGGTCCGAATAAGGTACCCTCTTCTTGAGACATCATCGATAAAGATACATGAGTTATTCCCCTATATAGAGATGCTAAGATCAGTGGGCCAAGAGCGAGTGTTTTACCCTCGGCAAGATTAGTTGCAAGTGGCAAAAAATCCTTAGAGATTTTTAGCGAAGGAGCAAAGAAAACGTATTTTGACAACCAGAAAAGGAGGAAAAGTATGCGTTCATCAAGGTCCACTGGGTCAGAGCTACGGGAATATGTTTCGAGGAATCTACCATAAGCAAGGGCTTCTTCAGGAATAAAAGGCATTGTCAGAAAAGCCATATTTTCCATAGGGGTTCTGACGGGGTGAAAATTAGTCATGGCATATATGTCTAAGAGAGTAATAGACATTGGGCCCCAGGGAAAGAAGAAGCAGTTGGTCGAGCGGGACCAAAAACAATCGGTAGCACCCAAAAGCCCTAAGTTTAAGTCGTATGACAACATACTGACCTCCAAAGCCATGTCAATGCCGGCTCTCGTCCAAGCAAGATGAGTAGGAACATCATCCCTCAATCTCACATACCAGCGGTGAACATCCATCTCGGGGGAAGGAAACCCTCGGAATCTAGAGGTCTCTGAGGTCCAAATGTCCACGACCGAGGATTTTTGGATGGGGAGTAGTTCTTCTGCCTTCCTTGGAAAGCATGGTTGGAGTGAAGTTGGGATTTGTTGATGGTTGTAAAAATAGGGACCAAGAATGAGTTGTTTAGAAGATTCATCGATCAAATGCAATAAACGAAGACAACAGTTCGAGGAGTTTTCATCTTCTTGCAGATGATCAAACTTTGCAATATACGTCTCGGGACTGTATTTGGTGTCCATGGATATAGACTGAATGACAAGAAATTTGGGGAAGACGAAGAAGACCTAGAATCGGAGAAGGTGACAAGTTAAAGTTTCGATTTTTATGTGATCAAGATATGACGATTCGGATGATCTACGGTCATGAAGATTTGTCAAGCTATAAATGATCGGGATAACGTGTCAGAATAAAGTAAAACGTCGCAGGAAGATCAAGCGGGCGTGAAATACGAAGCGTTGAGATCAAGATAGTCCGAGCCGGGTATATTTCTTTAAAAGAATTAATTCTTTTAAAATGAGGCATATGTTGACACCTATAATTAATTAGGTTGTCGACGGAAAAAATAAATAAAGTAACGGAGACAAATGTGTGAAGGTTGTCAGGAAGTGACGTAACCTATAAAAGGTTGTTTACGTAAGCAGATAGCTGGCAAGCATTGGAATATTCTGGCGGGAAATTTGAGAATTTGAAATTGAAAAGACTGGAATTATTGAAGAGGCAAGCGCCACCTAAGCTTCCATACCCAAGGTCGTCGATGAAAATTTCTATAGGGAGTCTAGGTCATCGAAGCTGTCGACGAGAAAAGAAGAAAGGACAGATGTCAAGACGAAAAGAGATCGATAATGGTTATCGCATAAGGAAGGACAGGTGTCAAGATGGAAAGAGATCGATGACGGTTATTGCATAGAGAATGACAGGTGTCATAAAATGAACGGCAAAGATGAAATCAATAGTAGTTATTGAATAGGGTATCAGAAGGCGGTTATCAGACTTACAGTATAAATACCACCCGACAGCCAAAAAACACCACTCTACAAACACACATCAAAATGTTATATTTTAATTATCTTTATTTTCTAGTACTGCACTTTTAATTTTCCTAGTTGTAGTCGCCTACATTTTAAGCATAATAGTTTTGTAATGTCGTATCGATGGAGTTCGGATGTCGCTAGTCAGTGGTTAGATGAATTTGTCTGAATCGATTATAAAGTTTGAAGCTCTTATTAGCCAAATCTCATCACGATATAAATTTGTGTTGCTGATTGAAATAAACAAGCTTTTTGTTCACGCCAGGATATCTCTTGTTTGGAGTTAGCACAGAACCCAATCTCTTCTTATTAAGAATCGAAGAACGACTTTTGGTGAATTATATTTCGTCACGGGAGCATTTTCGGCGAAACAACTAGACTGCAACCATCTCCACAGCAACGTCTGGAGGCATAATCATCGACAAGCTGTCAATTGGATCTTTATCTAACTTTCAACATGTGGAGGATGATCTCATTCGTGTATCGTCCGGATCACACTCGATGTAAAGAAGAGGTTTAGAATAAGAAAATCGGAAACACAGACTGAACCAAATGCAACCATTAAGGTAAAAGTCGTACCATTCATCAACCTAGGGTTAAGTTTGCAGAGAAAATGCAAATACTATGTCGCACTTGATTTTAGGGTCATGCCTCCAGGCAAACTGGTAAGTCCATGACATCCCTTTTGACATGGAAAACAACACTAACAAACAAAATTCACGACAAAAGAAGCGTTATCTATTTCTCTTACTCCCATCCTCCCAATCGCATCCCTGGATCGTAGTTAGTGAATAGACAAAACTCATTCCCGAGCTTGCTCGAATGCTTAGGCCGAAATATGCATGGATGCAAACCAAGTAGTTATGTAGCTCCGTCTTTTTGAACTTCTCCTGCAAGCATCTCAGAATTTGCTAGGCATTAGGAAGGAATATAAAGCATCCAGCATACTCCAAAAAGAGGGAAAAAAGAACCGCAGTAGTTCATAGCTATAACGTCACTACAAATGAAAGAAAATAAACCAAGAACTTAGGTTAAAGGTTCCACAGGAAGACTAAAAGTCGACACATACCTATAAGTAAAAGCAAGTAATCTATGCAATGATAATTCTCTCGACAACTATTTTCTCCTTCAACAGCGGTTTTCCTGCTCAATTCCCTCGCAATTAATTATCCGCAGCTCTCTTAATGTGTCGATGCGGCGAATGCCATCTGGTAAAGAGGATAATCTCCCCCCTTACCTCGAGCATGCAGTAGCCTTTGCTCTCTCTCAATGTAGAGCTTTCTCTCTACCCCCATAGTGGTAGCTCCCATCAATCCCAATTCTCTTCAAATCCCAGAAACGTCGACTCTCTCTCAGCAAAATGGAACAGTTTCGTTTTCTCCCTACTGATAGTAGTACAAACTAGGGGTGTCAACGGGTCGGGTCGGGTCAGGTTTTCATGATACCCGACCCGACCCGAAACAATGCATATGTTTGCTTGGCCCGACCCGAAACAAGACCCGAACATGATATAGTTGCGCGATCGGATCGGGTCGGGTCGGGTCGTGTTCGGGTCGGGTTCGTGTTTTAGATTTTTGCTTGACCACCTACATCTTCTCTTAAGAAGGACACCCCAAAATAGAACTTGGGTTGTCTTGTTCGCCTGTTCAAACAAAGAAGTACAGAAGTAGATGATGACGGCACTAGAAATTCCTATTTACACAGGTTAACAACCCATTTTAACACCAGCTTTCACCACAGAGAATATGAAATCCTACTTTCTTTTCATACCATACATCATTCTGTCAAAAAAAAATAAAGGTGGTACTTGCTATTCACTTTAAAACCCAGTCAGTGTTTAGTCATGCCTGTAAGGTTTTTGTGGATCAATCTCCAACAACTTCCACCAAAATTCACCATAAAGAAAGAGGTATACAGAAAAGTATGCATTAAAATATAACCGCTGCAATCCCCGAGCGCCTACCTTTACCCAGTACTGAGCTTTTTGAAACGATTCCGGGCTTGTTATATCATAAACCACTACCGCAACCGCAGCACCCCGATAGTAAAGTGGGGCCGGGCAAGATACCCGTATAAGGAAAACCAAGTAAATCCTTCTTCGTGTTTGTGATAGATAAAGGGTTGAAGGAAGTTTCCGTCACCCCACTTTTTAAAATATGAAAATATTAAAGAAAACAAATATAGCACAATTTAATACCTCTCTTGACTAGCAGTGTCCCATATTTCAAACTTAACTGTTGTAGAATCTTGCAAAGCTCAAAGTCCCTGGCTCCTACCAGATCGGATAGAAAATGCTAAAATACGATGCCAATAAAATGAACACTAGACAAGATGTTCAGATGCCAAAGCTATATGAAGCAGCAATGACTATGAGTATGTTGCATATCAAGACACCATCATCCTACTAAGCAGAAGATTTCTAAGCAATCAATGTCGCCACCTTGATCACGGCAAGTGCCACCTAGATATAAGATTTCATACAAGCATAATGACCGAACAAAAAGAAAGAAATGATCGCATGTAGCAAGCGTACCTTAACACGCAGGTTCTTTGCATCATTCACTGAACCGTTCTCTGCATTGAGCTCGCTCAATCTTCCAGAAGCCCTATCTGCAATAACCCGAATGTCGAGCCAATCAATCACAGAGCCGATTCACTAACCAGAGGCATTCATCAAATCGCGAATTATACTCAAAGTCCCTGGCAACTTCACAATCTCGCAGCCATCGGGCAAACAATTTCGCCCATCGAAATTTGCCAAGCCCTTAGCCATGATCTACACACTCGACTACTTCCAAAATACAAAGCAGGACAGACGCGGCTCCAAAAAACATGGGACAACCTCCCGGAGACAACCAACGGCATGCGGCACAACCGGAGGAATGCGCAGCGACCGGAGATCAGCTCGACCTCAAATTCAGCTCGCCGGCGACGAAAAAAAGTCGCGGACAACACGAACGGCGGATGGAGGGATTTACCCGGAAGCGAAGAGGAGCAGCCCATGGCAATGGCGCCGGCGAGGCGATTTCACCGGACGGCTCGGATCGACAGGTGCGCGGGAGCTCGAGAACTGCGCACCGGAATCGAAGGTCGGAGTGCAAAGGCGAGCGAGGAAGGAGGAGGACTGAGTTCGTTGGACTTGGACGGGCACGAATGAACGGTGGTTGCCTTTCCGGCGCGCTTGGAACAAGAAGGACAAATGGCTCTTGTTTGTTTCGGGTGGGCTTGTTTCGGGCGGGTTCGGGTAGATCCAAAACAAGTTTAAGCCTTGTTTTTACTGTTATCCAAACAAGGTAAGGCCAACCCGACCCAATATGAAAATTTCCTGTTTGGATCGGGTCAGTTCGGGTCGGTTCATGTTTGAACGGGTATTTTTGACACCCCTAGTACAAACCCTGTTTGGCTTCTACCCCAAAACCCACTTTCCCACTAAACCCTAATCGCCTCTTTTTGTCCATTTTGCTTCAGCATTCTTCGTTCTCATCAATGGAGCTTTTCTTCAGTTCTTGGTGTTCGATGTTGATGCTGCTTCTCTCCTAGTGGTAACTTTGTCCATGGTGTGACTCCCCTACAAAGCAGCAATGGAGAAAATCAATAATGAAGAAACTCATATGATTGTCCTTTGTAAGAGCCTAGGTACATTATGGTCAGATTCGGATATTGCTATTATGAAAGGGGTAGTTTCCCTAGAAAAATTGATAGAATGTAATCTGACCATATTTGAAAAAATCTTCAATAATTCGAACATCAACTTTGAAGCCTTTCAAAATACAATGCAAAGGGCATGGAGGTCTGATTCTGTCACTTTTCAAGATTTGGATGCTGGTATGTTTGCTATAATGTTCAAATCCGAAATAGAGAAGAGAAGAGTGCTTGAAAATGGTCCATGGTCCTTTGCGAATCATCTTCTAATTCTCAAACCCTGGGAACCAAATATGCTAACACATGAATATGAGTTTAACTTTTGCTCGTTTTGGGTACAAATCCATGGGTTCCCGTATGAATGGCTATCTGAAGAAGTAGTGAATGAAGCAGCTAAATTTAGCGGCCAAGTCTCGGAGGTTAGAGTAATCTCTAAAGGTCCTGGTTCCCAGAATACAGGGAAAGTGAGAGTAACTTTGAACTTATCTAAGCCTCCAAAGTCTGGAATTCTTACTGATAATGGAGATAGGAAATTTTAGTTAGATTTCAGGTATGAGAGGCTTCCCCACTTTTGTTATGCTTGTGGAAGGATAGGACACTATGCCAAATTTTGTGAAGAAGTAGCCTTTGATGAGGGAAAGATGGATGAATGTCGCTTTGGGAGTTGGCTAAGGCTGAAGAGAAAGAGTGGAGTCCACATTGGAAGATATTTAATAGGGAGTTGGAGGAAGAGAGAATGAAAGAAGATTTTATTCCCGAAACTTCAGTCTGCTCTACTCTACTAATGCCTTCTAACAAAGGTACTAGCAGGTTGGAGATTCAGGAAAATACCCAAAAACAGAGCAAGGGAAAAGGTGTATATGTAGGGGAAGATAGCTCTCTAAACCAGCAAGACCATGTATCTGCATTGGCACCACTTCTGCTTCCAGTTCCCATGCAGGTACAAAAGTCCTTAATCTTTGCTATGGATCAGTCTATAGAGAGGAGCCAGAATAAGAAAAGTAAGGGATCAAAGCTTTAAGCCAATAAAAAAAACAGCGACGTTACAGCCCTTATGATTCCAAGATGGCAAATCAACATGTCGTGGATGAGACAAATTTGATGGAAACTCCAATTCATGTAGTAGCAGAAGCAAGTGAATGGGCTTTGGTGGCTAGCCCTAATAAGCCATAAGGTTACAAGTGAATCTTATATGTTGAAACTGTCAGGGGTTGGGCACACCAATGACAGTTCGAGAACTTAGAGCCCATGTGGCTCAAGAAAGGCTTAGTTTGGTGTTTCTGATGTAAACTAAAAACCGGGAACAAATGCTTCATAAAATAAAGAGAAAGTTACAGTTTCAGAGTTGCTTCATAGTAAATCCAGTGGGTATTGCAAGAGGTATGGCTATTTTTTGGAATGAGCAAGTTCCTTTAAAAGTGGAGTCACACTCAGAATTTTTTGTAGATGTGAAGTGTGTGATCGAGGAGAGTAAATAGAAGATGCGACTTACCTTCGTTCATGCACCTTCGCAGTTTAATGAGAGAGTTTTCTTATGGGACAAATTACATGGCATTAGTCTCATGAACCACCTCCCTTGGACTTGCATCGGAGATTTCAATGAGATTCTTTAATTGGGAGAAGGTTGGGATGCGCATGGCTGAAAATTATAGACTCAATGCTTGTCGAGACTTCCTCCATGCTTGCTCGTTAATGGATATGGAGAGTAAAGATTGTGCTTTCACATGGTCTTAATCACAGGGAAGGAGAGGCTTTCGTTAAGGAGAAACTTGATAGAGTGTTATGTACCATAGATTGGAGGGTTAGCTTCCCCAACGCTGAAGCATTTGCACTCTCAGCAGTTGATTCAGACCACAGTCCTTTATTGCTGTCTTTATTTCCTAAACCAGTGAGAAGGAAAAGAGAACTCAAATTTGAGATGTTTTGGCTAGAATATGCTAAATGCGAGCAAATTGTTAGAAATGGTTGGCAATCCTCTGAACTAGAAAATGAGGAATTATACAGATGTCTGTAAATAGTTTCAAAAGCTCTGCAAGAGTGGAGTAAGAGGAAATTCTCAAATGCAAAAAAGGGAATCGAGACCATGAAGTAAGAAATTCAGGAACTTACTAATAGCAAAACAGTCCTCATTGATGAAGAGAGAGTGCGGAACCTAAAAAAGGAAATAGAGAAGATATGGATACAATAGGAGATGTACTGGGGTTTGCGATCGAGAATTAACTGGCTAAAGTGGGGGGATAAAAATACAAAATATTTTCATGTCACTACAATACAGATAAGGCAACATAACAAGATCTCAATGTTGCGAAACTCATAAGGGGTTTGGATCCGAGACTTAGGTCAATTAAAGCAGCTGACAATAGATTTCTTCATAACTTTGTACAATTCTGAGGGCCCTCGACATTTTGAACCTATAATGGAGTTTGTTCCTAACTTAGTGGGAGAGGAGATAAACCAAGTCTTAACTACAGAACTGACAATGAAGGAAGTTACAGAAGCTGCTCATCAACTGGGTGCCACTAAAGTACCAGGGCCTGATGGACTACATAGGAAGTTCTACCATCATCACTGGGAAGATCTAAAGCAAGGGGTGTTCAAAGAAGTACAAAGCTTTCTAAACTCTAGGATTCTCAACCTAGAGCTAAATAAAATGCATATATCGCTTATCCCAAAGATCCTTAATCCGGAGAAGCGGAACAATACCGCCCCATTTAGCTTATGTAATTTTGCTTATAAGATCATCTCAAAAGTCTTGATGAATAGATTGAAACCATCGATGCCAGACTTAATCTCGAAGGAGCAGAGTGCATTTGTAAGTGGAAGACAGATCCGGGATAATATTTTAATTGTCCAGGAAGTGCTACATCAGCTCAGAATTAGAAAGAGAAAGAAGAAGTTTAGGCTATCCTTAAACTTGACATGAAAAAGGCATATGACAGAGTCGAATGGGATTTTGTGGAAGCTTGCTTGCTAAGATTGGGATTCAATGCTCAATGGGTTAGATGGGTTATGCAATGCATCACAACTGTGTCATTTAGTGTAAAGTTGAACGGAGAGCCACTGCCCTATTTTCATCCCTCAAGAAGTCTCCGCCAAGGTGACCCACTTTCTCCATATTTATTTATCATTGTTGTGAATGCATTATCCTTTATGATGAAAAATGCACTAGAGAACGGGATTATCAAAGGAATTAAGTTAAATAGATCATGTCCAACTTTGATCCACTTACTCTTTGCGGATGACTCAATCTTTTTCTTGGATGGAACGATTAATGAGTGCCAAAGTGTAACTGCAATCTTGAATCAACACTGCTATGCCTCGGGTTAAGCTACTAATTTGAATAAATCTGGATTGTTTGTTAGTAAAGATTGCCCATAGAGATTGAGGCAAAATATGGCTGCGGAGATGCGAGTGCCGATTATAGAGAAAACTGGCAAGTATTTAGGAATTCTTTCTGACTGGGGTGAGTCAAAGAAGCAAATGTTTGCGTGGATTATGGCGAGAGTCAATATGAAGCTAGAAGGCTGGAAAGAAAAGTTGATATCCAAAGCAGGGAAAAAAATCCTCATTAAAGCAATGGTTCAAGCTCTCCCAAAGTACCCTATGTCCATCTTTAAAGTTCCTATCTCCATTTGTCGTGCTATTGAGTAGAAAATTGCTGTTTTTTGGTGGAGAAATGGGGCAAGCAAATCAGGATTGCATTGGAGAAAATGGGATGTGCTAAAACTTAGAAAGGATAATGGAGGATTGAGCTTTAGAGACCTCGTCACTTTTGATAAGACTATGTTAGGGAAACAAGCCTGGAGATTGATTCAGAACCCAACATCTTTATGGAGTCAGGTACTTAAAGGACTCTACTTCCCTTATTGTGATTTTAGACATGCTGGTAAGGGGACACGGCCACCTTGGGGGTGCAAAGCCTCATAATGGGCAGAGATGATATTCTTCCCTCCATTATGTGGTCAGTTGGAAATGGGGAGAAGATAAGAATTAGAGAGAAGAAATGGCTACCCAGAGGAATGATAGGGGGACTATCAAACAGAAGAAAGCCAAAGAAGGTAGCTAATTTGATACAAAAGCAAGATTCAACGTGGAATACACAGACCCTGCATGCTTTATTTGATGAACAAACCTCCAATGAAATCCTCTCAATTCCGCTGAGGTCTCAACTAACGGAGGATAAGTTGGTTTGGAACAACACTAGATCAGGGTCCTATACAGTTAATAGTGGGTACAACAAACTAAGGGGAGAAACCAAGAAACAGATCACAACTTCAATGTCCACCTCACATCAGACCCCTCGAAAACTATGGACAAGGATTTGGTAGGCAAAAACTATTCCAAAAATTAGATTTTTCTTGTGGGGAATATGCCAAAATGCTTTGCCTACCAAGGATAATTTGTTTAAAAGGAGTATTGTTCAAGAACCTATTTGCAGTCTATGTAACCAACAGGTTGAGACAATCGAGCACTTATTCCTACTCTGCCCATGGACAAATCAGGCGTGGTTGAACTCGACCCTGCATATTTAGATCTCTAGCCAAGGACTTACGAGAATTGAAGACTGGCTACTGAATTTCAAAAGTACCTCAATTTCCTTTGATTTACTAGCAGTGGTTCTTTGGTATATATGGAAATGGAGGAACAACTTCATTTTTCGAAGTCAATCCCCAAATCCGCAACACCTAGTGAGCTCTGCAATGGCCATGTACCAGAATATTTGCCAATGGACTAAACTGGAGAAGAACACCAACTCAAAAGATAGCCACTCACCCAAATTATGGTGACCACCGAAGAAAGGGACTCTCAAGTGGAATATCGACAGATCCTACATTGCAGGTTCAACGAAAGGCTCCACAGCTGGTATTTGCCGTGACTTCTCGGGGAAGATTGTGGATAGATTCGCTAAATTGGTGAGGGCAAGTTCAGCTATCAATGTGAAAATCCTTGCTTGCCTTGAAACTCTGAAGCTACTTCATGCACGGAGGGAAGAAGACAAAGTGAAGTACCTGCTAGAATCTGACAACTTGACTTTGGTCAATTGTCTTTTAGGCTTAGATATTTCTCCATGGGAAGCCACTTCACTTATTACTAAATGCAAATTTCTGCTACCCCATTTACCTAATGTTCTTTTGGCCCACTGTAATAGGGAAGAAAATCGGGTAGTAGACTGGATTGTTAAGACTCAAAGGTGCAAGTCTTTGCCCTATAATTGGGTCTTTAACCCTCTCGAAACCCTTTGGAACCTTGTATGTGCTGAAGCTCATCTTGATGAAATGAAATGAAATGATCTTGTTTCGACCAAAAAAAAGAGAGGATAATCTAGGATAGTCTTCAATCTTCAGTGTTCTCAGAGAAGAACTATTTTGCAACCACTCGAGCAATATACTCAAGTTGGGACAATTCTCAATTCTTATCCTCTGCAGTGTACTTGCACAACCTTCGAGCCACCCGAGGAAAGAAACTAGTTTCGGTAATTCCTCGAGTCTAAAGTAACGAAGTGTCAACATGGAGTGTTCTTCATTACTTTCACTTTCTGGCAGCTTCAATCTTGCGCAGTCGCAAATCGAGAGATCCTCCAATGCCATCATATTCTTTAAGCCTTGTGGTAAGGAGGCCAACTTCGGACAATATCCAATGAACAGCGAACGAAGCAGCATGAGCGAATCGATATCATCGAACAAGGCCTCCAAATAATTACACTCTTGTATGGATAGTGACCGCAGAGAGGTCAAGCATTCTATTCCATTCTCCGAAAAACGCTGCTGTTTTGTGGTTATCGACAAAGCACGGAGGCTAACCATGTTCTTGACGTTTGCAGGCAATTCCTCGAGTTTCGTGCACCGAGAAAGACGTAATTCATACATATTGCGAAGCTCACATACCGATTCGAGGAGTTTCTTGATATGAAAGTTGTTTAATAAACTAAGTAACCTCAAATGCTTTAGACCACCAATGGAACTATGCAATAGGTCAAAGTAAGCCCGATTTATCCATAGCACTCGCAAGTGCTTGAGTTGTGAAAGCCCTGCCTCCGAAAATAACTCCCCAAGGGTACCATACTCAAAAGAGATGGTACGAACGCGGCTGAGTTTGCTCAAGCTGCGTACTTCATCTCTAAAAAAAGAGATGGGTGCGTAAAAAATACATGCCGAATTGTCGGGGTTATATCCTGTGCTGTACGCACTTTAAATATGGACCATTGGGTTTGTGCCACCAAAATGGCAAGTTCATAAACGAGGTTGTGCATTTGGATATACAGCGACGGAAACCTTTCCACACTAACATCAAAGGACCTTGAACACGGCTCCATCATGTACTGCCATCCAATCTCTTCCAGCTCCTGATTATCTCCGCTGGACTAGATAAGCCCATTCGAGATCCATAGTGAGATCAAATCATCGCTGTTGATAATATAGTTCTACAGGAATATTGAGCAATAAGCGAAACATTGTTTCAGGTATGACAACATTATATCGTAGCTTATTCTCAGTGAAGGTAAAATATTAGTTTGTAGTTGCCACATCTCACTATCTCTTACATATTCCCAGTATTGTATTTTGAATACAACAAGCTTCCCAAAATCTTCACCGCAAGAGGATTTCCCCAACACTTGCTCATGATGTCATCGGCGATTTCCCTAAGGTCCCGGTGATTCTTCTCTTACCCTTGATCGAACGAGCACTTCACGAACAATGCCCATGATTGAGGCAATGGACATATACCGCGAAGTCACGATGACTTTACTCCCCTCGGAAACATCTCCTAACAAATCTCTCAATTTCACCCAATCTTCCCACCTCCCCACACATTGTCCATTACAAACAGACACCTTTTGTTCCCTATGAACCTTCTTAGGATATTTTGCAGCATTTCCAAGTTATCAAATTTTTCTTTGTGACCCAAATACTCGAGGATGCCTCTTATTATGTTCTTAGTTTCGAATCCTACTGGCATGGATAACCAAACTTTGAGATCAAAATATCTGTTTACCCAACCGTCATTGTACACCGGTTGAGCAAGAGCCGTCTTTCCAATACCTCCCATTCCAAAAATCGAAATGACTCCTATCATTCTAGCTCCACCATCTGATCTTTTTAATAGCTCTAATATCATTTCCTTTTCTTCGTTTCTTCCAATCATATTTAAAGGGGTTACAAAAGAATGGGTTTCCCTCCATGGAACTATAATCTTGTCGTGAATATCCCCCGACAAGTTGAACCGACTTTTCTCTTCATTGATCCCATCAAGTCTCTTTCTCAGTTCTTTCATATTATGTGCCATCTTAAATTGGAAAATGAAATTGGATATCCATGAGAACAAGTAGCTTACTTTCCTTTTGAGGGTCAAGTGCTTGGTGGACCTCACCCGCCTCCACAAAGCCCTAGCTTCGAAATCGTCCAGCACGTCCTCGACGACATAGCAGAAGTCTTTAAGCTTCGACAGCCAAATGCTTACTGCCTCATCTTTAGTTTGCCTTTGTTCAGCATCAATGAGCACCCTTTGGATCGTCTCTAGTGTGTTCTTGAGCTTCTCTCGATCATCCTTGACGCCACATACCAATTCAAGTTCTTCATCAGCTGATGAAGCCAGTTTCTCCAAAAGAGGTTTAAGGATGCCATATACAACTGCAGTCGTCATGGTTTAGCATAACCACTGTGCAGGAAATAAACTTGTTATCAGACAGATAGCGAAAGACATATGGTGCGAAAAATGAACACCATAAGAGTGTTAAAAACACTGCGATATAACCAAAATCACGCAATACCGAACTTCAACACAAGAAATTACGAGAAAAATCAAGCGGAACACGAAAGAAACCTCCAAATACATCGGAAACAGAGCATGACAAAACCAAAGACACGAGTCAAAATGCGTGACGAGCATGGACGATGAAAACTAGGAGATAAAATATTCAAAACGACAAAAGTGAAACGGTAAATCATACTAACCCAGACCAAAAGCTCTTCCTACGTAGAGATCTTTTGAGAAAAACTTCGAAACAATGGCTGGCCTCGGGATCACTAGGGAAGAAGATGATACTACTTGTATTTCTCGTTCTTCGAAAGCAGTGGCTTGAATAGGACATTACTTCTCGAAGATCACACACTCGTCTGCAATCACAATCCCACCCAAATTGATACCGGTTCGATTCAAACTGTGGAAACAAATGATAGAGTAAGAGCACTTACACACAAAGTTGATGAGTGAACACGGAAATGGAGAGCGAGTCAATCGATTCGGGAAGCAAGAAGCGCCGACTCTGAAACCCTAGCAAAGAGAGAAGGAGAGAGTTTGAGGTTTGGTTCTGGATTAGTAGGAGAGAAAGGGGGATAGAAAGAGAAAACCCTAGCAATCGAGCGAAGCGAACAATAGGTGAGGCGAGGCGGCGAGGCGACCGACTGGCCTCGGATCACTAGGGAAGAAGATGATACTATTTGTGTTTCTCGTTCTTCGAACGTAGTGGCTTTAATGGGACAATGCTTCTTGAAGATCACATACTCGTTTGCAATCATAATCCCGCCCAAATCGATACCAGTTCGATTCAAATTATGGAAACAAAGGATAGAGTAAGAGCACTTACACACAGAGTTGATGAGTGAACTTGGAAATGGAGAGCGAGTCAATCGATTTAGGGAGCAAGAAGCATCCACTCTGAAAGCCTAGCAGAGAAAGACGGAGAGAGTTTAAGGTTTGGTCCTGGACTAGCAGGAGAGAAAAAGGGAGAGAAAGAGAGAACTCTAGCAGTCGAGCGAAGTGAACAATAGGCGAGGTGAGGCGGCGAGGCAGGCAGCGAGGCGACTGACTGGCCTCAGGATCACTAGGGAAGAAGATGATACTACTTGTGTTTCTCGTTCTTCGAAAGCAGTGGCTCAAATGGGACACTACTTCTCGAAAATCACACACTCGTCTGCAATCATAATCCCGCCCAAATCGATATTGGTTCGATTCAAACAGTGGAAACAAAGAATAGAGTAAGAGCACTTACACACAGAGTTGAAGAGTGAACTCAGAAATAAAGAGCGAGTCAATCGATTTGGGGAGCAAGAAGCGCCGACTCTGAAACCCTATCATAGAGAGAAGGAGAGAGTTTAAGGTTTGGTCCTGAACTAGCAGGAGAGAAAGGGGGAGAGAAAGAGAAAACCCTAGCAATCGAGCGAAGTGAACAACAGGCGAAGCGAGGCGAGGCGGCGAGGAAGGCAACGAGGCCACTGACTGGCCTCGAGATCACTAGGGAAAAAGAAGATATTACTTGTGTTACTCGTTCTTTGCAAACAGTGGCTTGAATGGGACACTACTTCTCGAAGATCACACACTCGTCTGCAATCATAATCCCGCCCAAGTCGATACCGGTTCAATTCAAACTGTGGAAACAAAGGATAGAGTAAGAGCACTTACACAGAGTTGATGAGTGAACTCGGAAATGGAGAGCGAGTCAACGATTCGGGAAGCAAGAAGCGTAGACTCTGAAACCCTTGCAGAAAGAGAATGAGAAATTTTAAGGTTTGGTCCTGGACTAGCAGAAGAGAAAGAGAAAATCCTAGCAGTCGAGCAAAGCGAACAACAGGCGAGGCGAGGTGGCGAGGCAGGCGATGAGGCGACCGACTGGCCTCGGGATCACTAGGGAAGAAGATGATACTGCTTGTATTTCTTGTTCTTCGAAAGCAGTGGCTTGAATGGGACACTACTTCTCGAAGATCACACACTCGTCTGCAATCGTAATCCCACCCAAATCGAAACTGGTTCTATTCAAACTATGAAAATAAAGGATAGAGTAAGAGCACTTATACACAGAGTTGATGAGTGAACTCGGAAATGGAGAGCGAGTCAATCGATTCGGGGAGCAAGAAGCACCGACTCTAAAACCCTAGTAGAGAGAGAGAAGGAAAGAGTTTAAAGTTTGGTTCTGGACTAGTAGGAGAGAACGGGAGAAAGAAAGATAAAACCCTATCAGTCGAGCGAAGTGAACAATAGGCAAGGCAAGGCGGCGAGGCAAGCAGCGAGGCGACCGACTAGCCTCGGGATCACTAGCGAAGAAGATAATACTGCTTGTGTTTCTTGTTCTTGGAAAGTAGTGGCTTGAATGGAACACTGCTTCTTGAATATCACACACTCGTCTGCAATCATGATCCCGCCCAAATCGATACCGTTTCGATTCAAACTATGGAAACAAAGGATAGAGTAAGAGCACTTACACACAGAGTTGATGAGTAAACTCGGAAATGGAGAGCAAGTCAATCGATTCGGGGAGCAAGAAGCGCCGACTCTGAAACCCTAGCAGAGAAAGAAGGAGAGAGATTAAGGTTTGGTCCTGGACTAGTAGGAGAGAATGGGGAGAGAAAGAGAAAACCCTAGCAGTTGAACGAAGCGAACAACAGGCGAGGCGAGGCGGCGACGAGGTGACCAACTGGCTTCGGGATCACTAGTGAAGAAGATGATACTGCTTGTATTTCTCGTTCTTTGAAAGTAGTGGCTTGAATGGGACACTGCTTCTCGAAGATCACACACTCATCTACAATCATAATCCCGCCCAAATCGATATCGGTTCGATTCAAACTGTGGAAACAAAGGATAGAGTAAGAGCACTTACACACAAAATTGATGAGTGAACTCGGAAATGGAGAGCGAGTCAATCGATTCGAAGAGCAAGAAGCGCAGACTCTGAAACCCTAGCAGAGAAAGAAGGAGAGAGCTTAAGATTTGGTCCTGGACTAACAGTAGAGAAAGCGAAAACCCTAGCAGTCGAGCGAAGCGAGCAACAGGCGAGGCGAGGTGATGAAGCAGGCGGCAATGAGATTGACTGGCCTCGGGATCACTAGGGAAAAAGATGATACTGCCTGTGTTTCTCGTTCTTTGAAAGCAGTGGCTTGAATGGGACACTGCTTCTCGAACATCATACACTTATCTGCAATCATAATCTCGCCCAAATTGATACCGGTTCGATTCAAACTGTTGAAACAAATGATAGAGTAAGAGCACTTACACATAGAGTTGATGAGTGAACTCGGAAATGGAGAGCGAGTCAACGATTGAGGGAGCAAGAAGCGCCAACTCTGAAACCCTTGCAGAAAGAGAAGGAGAGATTTTAAGGTTTGGTCCTGGACTAGCAGGAGAGAAAGAGAAAACCCTAGCAGTCGAGCAAAGCGAACAACAGGCGAGGCGAGGTGGCGAGGCGACCAACAGGCCTCGGTATCATTAGGGAAGAAGATGATACTGCTTATGTTTCTCGTTCTTGGAAAGCAGTGGCTTGAATGGGACACTGCTTCTTGAAGATCACACACTCGTCTGCAATCATAATCCTACCCAAATCGATACCGGTTCGATTTAAACTGTGGAAACAAAGGATATAGTAAGAGCACTTACACACAAAGTTGATGAGTGAACTCAGAAATGGAGAGGGAGTCAATTGATTCGGGGAGCAAGAAGCGTCGACTCTGAAACCCTAGTAGCGAGAGAAGGAGAGAGTTTAAGGTTTGATCCTGGACTAGCAGGAGAGAAAGGGGGAGAGAAAGAGAAAACCCTAGCAGTCAAGCGAAGGAAACAACGGGCGAGGCAAGGCGAGGCGGCGAGGCAACCGATTGGCCTCCGATCTCTAGGGAAGAAGATGATACTGCTTGTGTTTCTCGCTCTTCGAAAGCAGTGGCTTGAATGTGACATTGCTTCTCTAAGATCACACACTCGTCTGCAATCATAATCCCACCCAAATCGATACCGGTTCGATTCAAATTATGGAAACAAAGGATAGAGTAAGAGCACTTACATACAGAGTTGATGAGTGAACTCGTAAATGGAGAACGAGTCAATTGATTCGGGGAGCAAGAAGCGCCGACTCTGAAACCCTAGAAGAGAGAGAAGGAGAGAGTTTAAGGTTTGGTCTTGGACTAGTAGGAGAGAACGAGGAGAGAAAGAGAAAGCCCTAGCAGTCGAGCGAAGCGAACAACAGGTGAGGTGAGTTGGCGAGGCAGGCAGCGAGGTGACCGACTAGCCTCGGGATCACTAGGGAAGAAGATGATACTGCTTGTGCTTCTCGTTCTTTGAAAGCAGTGGCGTGAATGGGACACTGCTTCTCGAAGATCACACACTCGTCTGCAATCATAATCCCGCTCAAATCGATACTAGTTCAATTCAAACTGTGGAAACAAAGGATAGAGTAAGAGCACTTACACACAGAGTTGACGAGTAAACTCGGAAATGGAGAGCGAGTCAATCGATTCGGGGAGTAAGAAGCGCCGACTCTGAAACCCTAACAGAGAGAGAAAGAGAGAGTTTAAAGTTTGGTCCTGGACTAGCAAGAGAGAAAGAGGAAACCCTAGCAATCGAGCGAAGCGAATAACAGGTAAGGCGAGGTGGTGAGGTAGGCGGCGAGGGTACCGACTGGCCTCGGGATCACTAGGGAAGAAGATGTTACTGCTTGTGTTTTTCGTTCTTCGAAAGCAGTGGCTTGAATGGGACACTGCTTCTTGAAGATCATACACTCGTCTGCAATCATAATCCCATCCAAATCGATATCGGTTCGATTCAAACTGCGGAACAAATGATAGAGTAAGAGTACTTACACACAGAGTTAATGAGTGAACTCGGAAATGGAGAGCGAGTCAATCGATTCGAGGAGCAAGAAGCGCCGACTCTGAAACCCTAGC